GGCTGTAAGTAGGTGGTGACCATATACCCGGTTGCCTCAGACCGAGATGCCAGTAACCCAGGTATTTACAGAAGTATCTGAGCCCTTCTTTATCTTGCTCATGTTCACAAATACAGATGTATGTATGCATGAACACACACACACGCTCTCCCCAGTGTTAGGTTGGCTGTAGATTCTTATGCTTGCAACTATTCGAAACATTTTTGGGTGGTACAGAACCATTAATAATATTTCAGGGGCAAAGCCAAGACGAGCCCTTTTGGCCATTTGAGCTGTGAGGGAGCATAAGCCTTTTGGCTGTCGGCTGTGCTGCTGTCTCAGCAGAGATCTCAAAACAATTCCACTCTGAAACCTGAAGCATTGAAATACACTCCCCAGCAACATTGTGGATGTGTTTAACAGTGATTCTAAACCAGAGTGCCACCGGATCCTTTGAAGAGTGCCGTGAAGCAGATAAGTGCAGGCACATGCTTGTCCTTGCCTGGCTAGTCCCTCACTCACACTGCCTAGCACCTCTGCAAGGAGGCAAGTGTGGTGCAAGAAGTTGTAATTTAAAGATGCTCTCTAACTAAAGGGAAGTTGGTAACTGAGAGATGGCCCCTTAATTAAGTAGCTAGTTAGTGTGAGAGAGACAAAATATCTACAGAGGTTGCCTACTGCTACACAAATAAACTTTGTTAGTTCTATCATTTGCGTTAGTTTTTGAAATTGGGGGCCACCCAAATAACAAATGTTATGGAGGTGTGCCTGGAGTCCAATGCAGTGGTGTAATGGCATGAATCTGCTGGCCCTGCCCTTGGGAATCTGGAACACAAGGAGCCCAGCTGAGCTGTTCTCTGCAAAGCAATTGTAGAGTCCTTGCACCCTGCACAGCAGAGCTCCTGTCCTTGGAGCAGTCTACTTCCGGGGGCACCTTCATGCTTCCCTCTGTTCTAAAACAAAATTAGAGAAGCTTTTTGCATTTAGTCTTTAATGTGGCAAGATGAACGTCAGAGTAATAAATAAATACAAGTGGCCTAAAATATCAGGAAAGACAAAAGTCAAGTCAAAGGTCCTTCAGCAATGCAGTGGTTTGAATGCTGCATGTGCCTGATGCCCTTTGAGGTGCCTGGTATAGTAGGCAAAGGCACAGATCCTTAGCTTCAACAGCCCCCCCCAAACCTCTTGATTTTAGTGGAACTATGCCACTTCACACCACCAGAGGACCCAACCTGCTAGTGTTGAGAAGGTTTTTCCCCACTGTGGCTGCATGGGTATGTGGCATGTCTAATATTTATTATTCTATGTTTATCTTTTTATGTTGCTGCCTCAATCTTTAATTTTGTATTTTTTCACTTTCTTTTACTTGCTAACTGAATGCTCAAGCTTTTCTTTGTTAGCTGGTCTCTAAACTCTTTCAGGCAGGGACTGTCTTAATATCTTTATTTTTAACATCTAAATAGGGCCCTTATTTCTGACTAAATCCATAATGATAATGATGATGCTTTGATGTTTTTCATTGAGCGATTGGGCCTTTAAAAAGTTGACTAGCTTATGCCTTCTGGATGCCCCCAGCGCGCTCCCCGGCAGTCCTGGAAGTAGGCTGGAAGTGCTTCTGGTCCACTTCCAGGTCTGCTGCTGAGCACGCGGGGGAGCCCCCTGTGCTTCTGTGGGACACTGCATGTGCCCCAGCATCGCAGCAGTCACAAGCCTCTGCTGCCTAGAGGTATGCCGAAAAAACATTTAAAGCTGTCTCTATGTCCAAATCTCTCCGATCTGATTCAGAGATTAAAGGGTCCTCTGATTCGATTTGGATTTGGAGATTCAGCCACCAAATTGTGCTGAATCTCTGTCAAATCAAATTGGGGACTGAAGCTTTGCACAGCCCTATTGTTAGGTGTCAAACATGATTCACAAGACACATCCAGTTTTCGTATAGCAATCCATAGTGTTTAAACAGTGTACCTTCTTGCAGTCTTTTTCAGTTCTTTGCAACAGAAGAATTGCTATTTTTTTTACTACTATTCTGTAGTCAAACAGTGAGTGAAAACTAAAAGCTGACATTTTCTCAGGAATGCCTCAAGTCTAAAAAGTTTGAGAACCAGTTATGTAGATTTTTATTCTGTACAGCCAACATATCTACCTATATTGCACAATACCCACCTAAGGTGAGCTTGCCTGCACTTTATATTGCACAATACCTAACTATTTGGGAGCTTGCCTGCACTTTAATACTGCCAAGTACCTGGTCTCATCTTCGCTTGAACTTGCTAGTTGTAAAGGGTTTCTACTTTGCTTGAGAAACACATTTATTTAAACAGATCAATAACTGCAGGATCTTGGTTTGTCTCTGCAAATTCCATATTTACACTCATAGATGCCAACTTCTGCTCACAGACCTGTTTCAGATACTGCCTTATAGTGATTTAGAGGCATTTGAAGATTTAGCTCAACAGTCTCAAGGGCACAATAGCTTTCACAGTTACATGCATTTCTTTGCCTGGATTTCACAGGAGAAGCCTACTCTAACTGTTAATGTGTGACATAGGTATTGTGAGAAGCTTCTTGGAGGATATGCATGGTGTCAACCTGTGAACTAAATAGTTTCTCAAACAAAACTGTGATAAAAAGAGGCAAAGAACCTCTTTGTAATAAATCCTATTGGAAAGTTCATCTCAAACTCCACAAAAATGATTTTCTATGGCAGTAGCTCCTCTTCCAGTTGTCACTAATGTCCCATTCATAACTTAATGCTTTGTGCACATGGGAAGATGCATTCCTGCGCCCTAAAGAGTTTAACAACTTGAGGTCAGCTTAGTCACTGGGAAAATCCTGTTTCCTTTTATAACCCTAAATGGCATGTATGCAGCCATTTAACTGCAGTTTTTGACACTTATGCTAAATTTCTGGACATCAGTTTGCCTGCAGCAACTGTGCATGCTTAGTAAGACCACTCCAGCTGGTTAGCTGTGTGTCAAACTAGGATCACTTAAATTTTACTCACAGAAAAACATGCTAGGTTAGGCAGAGGCAGCCTACCTTTCAGCCATGGTTAGGAGCCTTGTACAGAGAACAGGAGATCTTGGTTTTAGGATCACATCACACAGTGCAGCTTTGAATCTGCATCTTGTCAAACTGTTCCTAAACTTGTTTGGCATATTTGTAAGTACTACCCTTGTTGTTTTATGTAAAGCAGATGTAAAATTCAGTCTTTCAGGCAAGATTTTTTTCTATGAAATGAAGTTGCTCAAGATAATCAGTGAAGTATAAAACAAAAAGATTTTATTCATCTTTTACATGTAAATCTCCAATCAATCTTAGATTGGCAGCTTCATAGTGGTTTGCATGTGTGCCTGTGTGCAAAACTAGCATTGACAAAGTATAAAAGAAATAAAGACCTAAAGGCCAAGGAGAGGCTACATGTACGGATGAAAGGTAATATTGTTATTCGAACATTGGGATGTACATCACGAATACAGCATTTTTCTATCTGTCAGTTGTTTGTTGTTTGGGAGTCCCACAAAATATGCTTTGAAATTACTAATGCAGGGGAAGAATGAGAACATTAAACAATAAACTGCTTGGTGCATGACACTGGGAATAATGACATCCCTGTCCTATTGAGTTTCAAGGCATTCAATTCCATTTCAGTATTTTAGGCCTTGTGCCAGTAACTGGAAGTCAAACAATATCTGATGATAATTTGCAAGTGGATTGCAAATTCATTGGTGTTAATCTATTCCTACTCCTCCCCTCTCAAAGTCAGGTTTACGCATGGCTCACGTTACTCTTAGCTAGGGTGACCAGCTTTTCAAAATGGAAAGGCGGGACACATGAACACCTCTTCTGCCCCTCCCTCTCCCCCGCCCTCTGCCAGCTGGCGGCAAGGCCAGATCAGAGCAGAGGCTGCCTGCTGTGGGCTCAGGGCTCCCTGCCCTGCTGCATTTCCCTCAAGAGCCCTGTGCCAGCTGTGTGCCCCCTGCCTGCTAGGCAGCAGCAGAGGGCACACTCCACACGGCTGCTGCCCCCGTTGCTGCTAGGTGAGCAGGGGATGCATGGCCAGCACGGGGCTCCCAAGGGAAAAGCAGCAGGGCAGGGAACCCCAAGCCTGCAGCAGGCAGCCTGCACCCCATTGGCATTGCATAGGGGGTTCATAGGGGTGCACTTGCACTCCCTGAGAGCGCTGGCGCACCCCCTGACAGCCAGCATTCCCTGCTTAGGCAATAGGCAGAGGGGGCAGGTGGGAGCACTGGTGCCTCCCCTGCAAACATCAGCTGGAGAGTTGGGGTGCCAGGAGAAGCACCGCTGGCACTTCTGGGTGTGCCCCTGGCCCTTCTGGGTGCACTGCTGGCACTTCTGGGTCAGTGCGATTGGCCTCCCTCCGAGTTGCTGACTGGTCGCTGGGGGGGCAAGTGCCCCCTCCCCCCTGACTCAGGAGGCACCAGTCACCCATGCTGCACCCACCCCTGCACCACGCATAAATCTGGTGGGGCACATGCCCCCCCATGTCCTCTCTCTCTGGGGGTGTATGCCATGGTGGGGAGCTGCCCCACACCCCTGTGCCCCCTGAATGAGCCACCCAGGGCTCCATCCCACTCCCCACCTGGCTGGGCAGCGCACCTATCCCCTGACCCACTCCCTCCCTCACCATGTGGGCCTCAATTTGCCCCCCCACATGCCCTTCTCCCCATAGACTTACCTGCAGGGAGCTGCTCTCCATGCTACCAGGCTGTATTGCTGGTCACATGCATGTGTGTGGGCATGTCCTGCTCCTGGCAGCCCCTTGCAGGCAGGAACACTGCCAGCCCGTAAGAGGAAACCTGGATCCCTACACAATGCTGCGAATCTAAGACAAATGCTGTCCCAGAGTCATGCAGCCTGGGATTGGGGCTTGGTGTTCCCATTCCAGGACTGTCCCACCCAGTTAGGGATGGGTGGTCACCTACTCTTAGCTCCATAACCAGCTTTATTGACTGGTGCTAACTAGTTTGCTTCATGCTAGAATATCCTTGGCTCACTCTGATTTTCCTCCCCTCCAGGATGGCTCTGACTTTAAATGAATGGTTATGGCAGCAGGAGTATTGGCTTCCCCCAGGAATCAGCTGGGAAGACATGAAGGAGACTGAAGATATTTGTTACCCTCAGCCTCGACACCTCCTGCTCAGTATCCCGTGTGCCCTGTTCTTGGTTATCGTCCGGTACTACTTTGAAAGGTAAACTGGTTTCCCTTGTATAGGAAGACAGCTAGCAATTTGGAGCCTATGACTGGAATAGCTCAGGGGAGCCAAATCTTGACCCAAGGTATTTCTGGTGTGGCTCACAACTGCCCCATCTGTTTGAGAAGTAGCTGACAAAGGCTCCAGTTCTAAGGGTGAAGTTACATGTCACATTTATAGCAGACCAAATCTTTGGCATGTCAAGTGGTGTTAAAGTTAAAATGTGATGTGAGCAGTTGCACATTAAAGATTAATGACATTTCTTGCCTGCACAGCTCTGACTTGCTACTAGAGGGCTGGCAAGCAGGGGCATGACTAGGAGCCAAGACATCTGGGCACTTTCCCTGCTCTGGGTTTTGGGGGTGGAGGGCTGGGAGCAGTGCATCCTGGGATTCTGAAGGACTACTCTTTTCTCATTTATCTCTATGGGGCAGACTGAAGTTACCCTACCATGAGCTAGGTAGGTTGGCCCAGAGTTATCAGTTTTCTGAAATGGTGTAAATTTGAGACATTCATAGGGCACTTAACATGAGTTAACAAGCTTTAACGTGCAGACAGTTGTATTTTAAGTGCTCTTAGTATGGTCAAAGTGTAATGTGTAATTTAACTTTAAGTGTGTACTGAGATAGATGTACATTGTTATTCACTGAGCATTGTAGTACACAGCAATAAACAGAGGGCCAAATAAAAAGCAAGTCATGCCTAGAAGGTCTCATTTGAATGGTCTCACTTTCCTCCTTTGATTCTGAATTACTTGTTTGCTTATGCATTAGAGAAGCACAATATTATTTTGTGTTCTTCTGCATAGCATTGTCCTCTATTGGGATGAGTACAACAGAAATAATGTTAGATTATCCAGGTAGTGCTCTGCTAAAGGTATGGCTTCAAAAATCTCATTACAAGGCACTGAAAATTTTTGAAACTGTTTTCTGAGGATTGAAAAGTTCTATACTTGGTCTCTGTACCCCAGTGAATTAAATTCTTTTTTTGGATAGCTAATTCAAAAACTGCAGCTGTTTTCCAGCTCACAAGGTGTGTAGAAAGATAACTGGCTATTTTTAGGCAAGCAAACACAAAAAGAGCCTTACTGTGGGCTTTTAAATGTGGCTTTTCTAACTATATTACTAGAGGTGAAGCCTGACTATGTTTCAATAAGTGTTGTGAAAAGGAGAGCATTTTGGACTGTGCTGTGGGAAGTGCTGTTAAATTTAAAATGAGGTTTTTAATTACTCAGTACTGCATACAATAGATGAATGTAGCTCTTTATCTGTGTGGCTGAAGCCTAACCCCCTCCACTGCTTCCAGCCAGCTTGTACTGCTTTACAAATGTGTTACAATAGCCCCAATCTTGTTAAAGCTACTTCCCACCCACCCACCCTCTGGGTGTCTTTTGGGCTGGTAGATGGTCACAGTGTTGGGAGTGCTAATTTACTAGCTACCATTGTTATTCAAGATAGAAGCAGACATCATCTGACGTCCCACTTGTGCTACCATAAAAATGTTATGGCAGTACAAATGGTGACTAAATAGATGTCTCTACCTTTGTCACGCCACACCAGAGGAAAATCAGTGATGCAACAAAAGGTTGCACCAAAATAAATTCTGATGGTTTATTGTGGTCACCTATTAGCTTTGTGGCAGGAGAGTGCAGGCAGACTGAGCTGCCCGTGCTCTCCAGCCACCCTGGGCAGGTGATCTGGGGATCAAAGGGCCCCTCAAGCCCCTGAAGCACCTGCCCAGCTTTTCTTGCTTATAAAGAAGCACCCTGGGGAATCTGAGGGCACCTCTCCGTAAGTGGGAGAAGTCAGGGCTTCTTGCTTATGGAGAGAGACCCTGGAATCTCTTGGAGCATGCCCTCAAACAGGGAAGGCCTGCACAGATCCCAGCATGAAGGCACAGGACCAGGGAATCCCCAGCAGCCTATACTTCCACACTGGGACCTGCTGACCCAGACCTGCCCCTGGGATCTCCAAAGTGGGTCTGGGTAAGTGGGGAAAGCCAGGCAAGTGTCCTCAGGGCACTAGAGGCCCCATCCTACCCAGACTCCTAAAGCCATGAGAGAACACAGCGCCTCGTCCCACACCATCAGTGGGTGGGACAAGGGTGACGTGGGTTTCACCCAATGAAGTGGATCTGCTGTGCTGTGACACAGTGGATCCACTTCATTCAGCGATGTCTCTTTCTAGCATCCATAACTTTAAATCTGCTTTGGTCTCTATAAACAGTGAAGCTTTGCAGTCCTGTTGGGAAAAGGTTGGTATCATTAGCCCCTTACAAATTGACTTTCAGGCACAAAAGGCAGAACTCCATTGCCCTTGCTGAACCTAAATGGTAGTTTTCCATCCCTGTGAGTGGCCTTTTTGATACTTAAGTACACCTTTGCTGTCAATGCATACATCACAAAAATGTAGCTACACAAAAAAACATGACTTACAGAAGAAGAAAGTCTTTTGATATTTTAAACCCAATAACTTATGACACTTATCCAGGAGGCAGGAAACCTGTGTTCTAGGTGATCCTCACTCAGAAGGAGTTTGAACCTTTATTGCTCTGACTTGGCACCATAGTGCTCTAACCACTATACCAGTCTCTTCTCCAGCCCTCTTCTTGAAACTGGGCCTCTGGCAGCTAAGGAAAGAAGAGGAGAACAGAGCAAGCCAGAGGATTCAGAACTTCATGAATTGGCTGATGCTGTGGAAGTGAGGCCTTGCTTCTAGCCTAGAACCCTGCTCTAAGTGAGTCAGAAATTTGCCCACTGCACTATCCTCCATCTACTCTGTTTAAACACAAAGAGCAGTGGCTCACATTGAAAAGGAGCTCTAGAGAGTTCTGAATAATGCCTGACTAGTGACAGGGTGGTTAGTGGACTATGTTGAATGGTGAGAGAGACACAACATCAAACTTCTGGAGGACAGAGTGTTAGCACCTGGGTGTCCCCCTTTCTGCATGAGTGCTGTAGCCAATCAACCATGGGGACTAAAATAAAAGCACCGCTCCTGCTTTCTGTGATTTGCACACAGTCTGCAGTATGGATGCAGAGATGTGCACACATAGAAGTAATGGAATCATAAACTGTGTGTAAGTGCCAGAAAGTCTTCAGACATGGCTGGAAACTGACATTTAGGATGCCTACAGATGTTTAGGGTCCTGCATAAAGTGCCATGAGTTGAGGCCCCCTCCCATGACCCAACAGACATTTGTACCCCCCTGCCCACCCACTGCATGCTGGGGCTGTCAGCAGGGAAGAGAGGGGAAGAGGAGAAGCAGCATGGAGCTGCCGGCTGCTTTGAATGGCTAGAGCTGGGGGGTGGGGGACAAGGTAGAACAGAGCTCCCTCGCCTCATGGGCCCCCTGACAGCTACCCCGGCTGGGGTATCGGGGGGAGCTGGGCCGGACTGCATCTCAAGGCAAAGGAACTCCGTTCCATCCTGCCCTCCCCCAGCTCTGGCCATTCAAAGCAGCTGGCAGCTCTGTGCTGCTGCTATTAAGAGGCCCAGGCAGGGGCTGGGGGAAGGGAGCCCTTCACCTCATGGGCCCACTCCATCATCAGTGACAATGGCTCTAATTTGAATAGCGAGAAGCTTTGGTTGTTGATTGTCATTCATTTCTTTTACAACTCTTTTCTGAGAGTTGAAAACAAATCCTCAGTTCCATTTTTATTTTTATAGATGGCTGGTGGTGGTAAAGGCTTGTTGGGCATGATTTGAATAACAGGGCACATCTGTATGTGATTCTTTACTGCATAGTAGGCCAATTTACTGCTCAGTGAGTGTCACCATCTACAGCACAGCAAATTGGTCTACTCCAGGGTTAATTTGCTACCTGCAGAAGGGTAGAGCAGGGTGGAAGAAAATCTGCTCCCAAGAGAGAGCATGTGTAGACATGCTTCTCAGTAGGCTTACTGCACAGTAAGCTTACTTCAAACTAACTGCATGTGTAGACATGCCCAGAGTTTTGAAAACCAGTAAGGGCCCTGATCTGGGTGCTAATCCAGATAGTAATGAGCAAAGGGCATATTATCTAGGATGGGGGCGGGCAAAGTCTGGCCCACGGGCTGAATCTGGCCAGCAGTGGACTCCATTTCCCAGCAGGCCCTACCCACATGGTGGGGGCCAGTTTCCAGTTCCATATTTAGAAATATGACTACATCCTGCTTGCCACCAAACAACTACGAGGTAAACAAACTATTCTAACTTTTCTCTAACCTGCATAAAATGAACTGTTTCAAACAGAAGATTTTACCACACCTTTAACTCTCCTATGAAATATGAACTGTCATTTCTACCTAAGAGAACGTTTACAAGCTTTTCTCCTTTGTCCGTAGAAGGGTGCTTGTGCCCAAAAGCTTGCAATTACATTTTTTTTGGTTTTTTTGGTAAAAATCTAGTTGGTTTAATAAAAGGTATCACCTCTACCATGAATTCTGATTTCTTTTGTCTCTAAACCACTATGGCTACAACCTCAATACTTGTCTCATGATTGGTATTTCCCGCTCCCCCCTCCCCTTCTGTTTTTTTATCATTTACACCAGCACACTCTAAACATCCTTGTATATAGGTCTAAATATCAGCCTTACAATCAGTCCACCAAGATGTGTGGATTAATGTCATAGGTTGCTCAAGTATCCAATTGTCCTTCATTGTCATGCATTAAGTAGAAGATTTCATCCCTAATTGTAGTGGGAATTATCCATACCCACTATTCTCCTGGTTTGGCAAAAAATGTATCATTAGTTACTCTAAGAGCAGTGCTCTTAAAGTATCACTATCTTTTAATTTCGATATTCCCTTTTTTTAGTATCATTGCTTTAAAGATACTTTAAACCCAACCATACCTTTTTGGTAGTAAGTCTAGATTTTTGTTTAATAGCCATTATTGAATCAGTATTTATACATTCCCCCCCATTAAAGCAGCTTGCCTAGCTTCTAAGGCAGCTTTGTTGTTCCAGTTAGCTGATTGTCCAGATTTTTTGTGTGTGTACTTTCACTTTTGTGAGA